GCAGGATTCAGGCTGGGAGGCTGCTGTGACACAAGGCTAATGAGGTGTGTTCTGGTCTAATTAATACTAACGTATGGATGGAGAGGGGGAATGAGTGAGTGGCCAAGCCCCTGTGGCACAAGGGGACTTTCATTTTAAGGCTAGACAGATTTTGGCAGCAACTCTCACCGTTGATCCTTCTCATCTAGTCCCCTGCAAGACTCCAAGCAGCAGCAGCTTGGTATGACCTACAGCTCCCATAATGGAGCAGAGGGCCTGGGAGCCACCACGTATGGCTCCAGATCAGTTGTGTTTGGTGTCTCTCCTTGGCATTAGGCTACCCCACAGCCGTGCCAGCAGGTGGCTTAGAAAGCAGCCATGGAAGGAATATGCAAATATTTTTCAAAGGGACTTCATTTGCTCTCCAATGATGATCTGAAAGAGATGTTTTATTAAAACGTGCTTTATTAAAGGGGAGGAGGGTGTGAGGAGGGATTGGACTGGAACAGTGTAGTTGAGCAGGTAACTATAACGCAAGACAGTGGCCCATGGCACTTATTAGTCAATCATTTACAGAAGCCATGAAATTATAATTTATGTATGCTGGAAAGGGAATACAACAGCCCATTTTATGACATTTTCTGTGCACAGCCATTCAATGATGCTCCAGTGACGCATTCATGTGGCATTTTTTCCAGATCTGATAATATTCTGGGCTCTAAGCAACTCTCCTATCTACACAGATTATTTTTTTCAAGCATATTTCATGCACCTTTGTGCGTAACATAACATTGCTTTATGTGTAATTGCCTATTTTAGATCTCTATCCACTGTTTCTATCCTTTGCTTACGTTTGCCTCGGCTTATGATGCTATCAAGCGCTGAAAGCTAAGCAGGACTGATCCAGCAGGACGGGTCAGCGCTTGAAAGGGAACCCTCTGATTAACACTGAGTGCTGCGGAAAGTGGTGACAGCACCTGGGGAGGGATGCACTCCTTCCAGACAGACAGCGGGTTGGGTGGGACACTGAGCGTGGGAGCACCGTCTTTGTTATGTAAGATATGTGACTTGTCATCCAAGTCAACGCACTGGCTGACACTGTAGGAATCTTCCACAGGAACTGGAGTTTTCTTCCAGGTCGTGGGTTGTCAGCAGGCAGGGGATGATTCCTGTGCTGCCTTAGCCAAAGGATGTATCTTCATTCCAAGAAAGAGATGGCTATTTAGTTTTTATAATTATCCCTTATGAGTTGCCTACTCTAGATGTGTAGACAGGATATTTAGACTTTGACCCTGCGTACAGATTAGGGTCAGTCTGTTAAGAACTTTAAGGTGATTATGATTTATTAATCTCCGTTTCTTTGTCTTGATTGATCTTGTTATTAGCAAGTGTGAATCAACAAATTCAAATCATAAACATCTTTTTTCCTCAGTGCTGACAACCTAGAACAAAACATGTTTTTGTCGCTGCTGGCTCATACCTCGTTCTGCGCAGACACTTATCAGGGCAGGAGTTCTTCCATCCCACTGTTGCCTATGGGAACAAAGCATCTGTGATGGGTATTTTGGTGGTGCTTCCAAACAAGCTGGAGTCCAAAGAACTTGGGGTAACTGTATGACAGAAATAATGACAAACCAGAATGTATCCAAAGCTCTTGAACAAACATGTTTTGGGAGCCCAGCCGTAGCCCAAGCAGATTGTCTTGTGGTTAGGCATCTGTCTCCTCCCATACCACCCCGTGGCTACACACAACAAATATACTGTATCCCACAAAATTGCCAGTCATAAGATGTTCCCTTTTCTTCTTCTAGGGTGGATGCTGGTGTGGGTTTAAAAGAGGATTTGTGAATTTGGGGGAGTTTGCTCACATCCAAAATTTGAGGCACCATCAGCATTAGGGAAAGGAGGGGTTGGGTGGGACATGGCAAACCCCATGGCACTTGTGAGGGAGCAGGACGCTGACCCATCTGTGACCATGATGTGGAGGTGCCACATCCCCAGCTGCCACCTCCTGGGGCCATGCAGAAGGGACAAGGAGGTGCCTGTGAAGGCTGTCTGCTCCGTTAGCCTGCTTTCCCCTGCTAAGCACTATACAAACATCAAAGGCAATAAAATGAGATGAACAGGACCAAGTCAGTTATTTACTGCCCTAAACCAGGGCACGATTGTTCCCCATGGTGAGTTTTCAAGTGCCTTTTGCTTCTTGTCTGCTTTTAAATGACGCACACGACGTGGCTTCCTCCAGCTCCTGGGGGGAAGGAGAAGAGGGACTCTACGTGGCGCAATAGCTCTCCCTCTTCTAAAGCTTTCACTTTATCTAAAATGCCACTGAATTGCTGCACCGCCGTAGGCATTACAGTGGGTGCTCTGGTGAGTGGAGGGAGCTGCTCTGCCGGCCTGACCTGTTGTGCATGTGAAGGACGCTCCTGCCTCTTCTTTGGGGGCCTCTGACCAGTGATGAAGTGGATGCTGAGATGTGCATGACCTTGACTCTCCTGAAGAGGAGGAGATAGCAATGAGGAGGTGGAGCTGATAGCAGATGATGGCCAATGCAGCACTAAGCCAAGGCAGGTGCTTTTGTGAGCATCATACAGCACGCTGTGAGTTGCAAAGGTCTCCCCTGCTCCCCCCAGCTGCTCCTGACTGAGGTGTTGTGGTCACCCACTGGGGATGGGGAACCAGGCAGGGAGAAGGAGTGACTGCCCAGGACTCATGCTGGTGAGCAGCAAAGCTGGGAATATGTTCTGGGTGTCCTGGTTTCACCTCAGGGCAACCCAGCAACTCAAGAGTGTGCTAGTAAAGACTGCTGGTCTTCTGTTCCTGTGACTGGAGTGATGGACACCCTGTTCCAATGGGCACCACAACCAGATGAGCAGCAGTCATGCAGACTGATTGGACCCATAGAGGAGATCCTAGGTATGATGAAAGGAACGTGTGAACAGAAAAAAATGTATTTCCCCAGATTTTTTTACAATCTCCAACAATTCACAGCTCAGGTGACAGAGCTTAGTAGAGCTTAGGGATATGGTTTAGTGGGGACTGTTAGCGTTAGGTCAGAGGTTGGACTCGATGATCTTGAGGTCTCTTCCAACCTAGAAATTCTGTGATTCTGTGAAGGGCACCTGTGTTTAACAGCCACTGGTGTTTTTTTCCCTCCATGAATTTGTATAGCCATCTTTTGGTCCCTTTTTAGCATCTGCAACATCCTGTGTCAAGGACTTGTAGAGATGAACTACATACCCCAGAGCACAAAGAAACAGTTTGAACTTATTGCTCAAGAGACTTGGGGTGAGCAGCCAAGCCATGTGAGCAAAGCAACATATTTCCTGGTAGACTCTATGAACTGGAGCAGCTACTCGTGAAGGCACAGCTGCTCCTGTGCCTCGTTCTGCAGTTTGATGCATGCACATTCAGGTGTAAGAAGTTACATCTATAGGCTTGCAGACCTGTTAGGGGTTGGCTCTGTGTTGCTCCAGTGGCAGAGCCTGGAGGCTGTGCTGGGATCAGGTGCCCATCACATCTGTGCAAATCCACCCTGAGACAGCTCCAGTGAGCTTTCACACATTCACACTGGGGGTAGGTGCAGACCTTCTGCCATTCTCATTAGATTATAAATCAATATTTTGACCCCAATAAGTTTCCTATTAAATCAAAATTGTAAAGGTAATATGCAACAACTACTTCTTCACTAGGAAATGTCTGATACGAGTGTGTGTAAAAGCAAACTAAGGGACAACAAAGACAGGTGACAATATTTAGTATTTACCATGGGCTAGAAACACATGCACTGCATGTAATGACTGATGTGTGGTGCCATGTGCTTTGGGAAACACACTCTGTGCTGGTGCCTTTGCATGACGTGGGCTGGTTTGTGGAGTTGCCAGTTTTTCTGTCGTGCAGGACTTGTGCTGGGAAACGATGTGAGCAAACACAAATAACTCTTGTTCAGGTGACACCAACAGATGGATTTTCAGCTTCTGTGGGGTTCTCTGGGTAAATGGCTTCCCACGTAGACTGATGGGAAGCCAACAAGATCCACCATATCTGGATCGTATCCTGTCTCCCAAAACAGCATGAGAGCAGCTAAAGGGACTGTGGGAAGGCATAAGGGTGATAGGGTCTGGGCAATGCTGGGGCAAACCTCCACCCCTTTGCAATGCCTATAGGGCTTTTTGGGGCCCTGGAAGAGTCTGTGCAGTGTCCGAGGGGATTTGTGCATGTCTGCAAGGAATCTGCGGCATCTCCTCCCCGCCGCGATAGTGAGAGCTTATCGGGGGTTTCCTTCAGATGCCTTCACGTCCGTGCTGGCAGCAGCCCTCAAGGCTGAGAAAGCTGGCGTGGCCACCCACTCCCTGGCCTTCCCCTCCCTGAAAAGAGAATAAGGACAAATCCCCCATGGCAGGTATTGCTCATACTGGATGCTATTTGGGCACCCTGTGGCTGGTGTGATACAGAACAAGGTCTTGCTGCTGGCGCCTGGTGCCAATTTAGGGCTTTTTGTTAGGACCACAGCTGCATTTGGCTCTCTTTGAAAAAAAAAAAAAAAAAAGGCTCCTTATTCTTTTCTTGCAGCCTAATCTTTAGTTTCTGATTGAACTGCAAGTTCTTCAGAGCTGTGCATAACCAACCTTCAGGAGGCTTTACCTACACACCAGCCAGCCACCTCCCAGCACCTTACAGCATCTTTTATACATCAAAATGTTACAGAGACTCTTTTTTTCTGTGTCCCTAAACCAAATACAGCCTTTGGCAGAAATGACCAGAAGTTATGTCCAGCTGAAGGTCCTATGAAATTAGGTCAGTTGCTTTGGGTCTAAGTCACCATGGTGTTGCTCCGATATGCACAAAATCTGAGGTGACATTTGCTGATTATACATCTGGGCATTGATTAGTGCTTTCACACTCCTCATTCGATTCACCTGGTGCCTCTCTCCAAGCCTGCAGCTGTTCCCCTTTAACATCTCCCTTTCAGAGCATGGGTGTTCACAGAAAAAAGCCTGGCTCCTGTTATCTCCAGAGTGATGATGCCCTGTGGTTTCCCCAGCTTTCACCTTATCTGTGGATTGAAAACAGACCCAAGCAGGCAGCTCGAAGCTCAGGGGGAGTGTTTGCACCCTCAGAGCCTGCTGCTCTCCTCATGGGGCCTGGGGGAGACCTGCAGTGTAGGCTGGGGATGGTCCCACACAGAGGGACATGGTGGGAGCCTGGCCCTAGCAGGCTGGGGGAATATGGTGCTCATGGTGTGTGTCAGGGATGGACAGGGTTTGGGGGACAACAGCAGGTGGGGAGCTGGCAGGACCTCAGCTGATATCCCACAGGTACTCTAAGTCTCCTGTGGTGTTCGTTGAGGCCTGAGGTGTCCCTGTGCCTTGCTTTCTGTCTCTGTTAAAGCTGAAAGGAGACTTTCAGACTCTGCCGGGTCAAGGGCTTTGTCCAGGAGGAAGCTGGTGAGGTCCCTCACAAATCACCATGCTGTACAGCATATAAAAATAACTCTTATCTGCCTGAAAAGCCAGACGGAGGGACGGGTGACCCACCACAGGGAAGGGGGAGGTAGGGGTGGGGAGAACCCCAGTGCCCTTCACTCTGTTGCCCAACAATGGGGTGAGCGCTACCCCAGGTGACCCCTTCCTAGACAGCCCTGCTTGATCCTTAACTAGCAGCAAAAGCCATATAATTCCCCTCCTGCTGACACCACCACGCCATGGATTACCTCTGGCTCAGTAAACGTTTGCGTTCTGGGGCAGGGAGGCACTGCCCAGCCAGCCCCATGCTCTCAGAGGGGGAAGCTGATGGCTGCAGGCCGGAGCAGGAGCCCACCTTTGTGCAACCACATCCCTCCACCTTCAGTCATCCCTCCTGCCCGGAAAGGTAAGACCTAGTCTTGTTTTATGGAAAAGGGGTCCATGTAGAGAATGAAAATTAGTTATGTGATGTGGGCATCAGTTGCTCCTGAGGCTGGAGTTAGAAACTGTGGTGGCTCCAGCGTTCAGCTGGGGTGGGAAAGGCAGAGACTGGGAACTGAGAGGGCTGTGTGACCAGGGGAAGTGCTTGGCAAAGTCCCCTTAGGGCCATCTTGGAGCTGATGGCTTTCAGCGTTTCCTTGGTGAAAATGAAGGGATGGATGCGTTGGTGGGATGTGTGGGGGATACACCTTCAGCCAGCTTCAGGGCAAGGGGCAATGAGGTGCAGGGTCAGAGGCCACATGCCAAGCCATGGAAACTGGTGTCCTGGAAGTGGGAATGCTGCTAATATTATGGAGAGCAAAGCCATCTGTTGAGAGATGAATATCAGGTGTCTCCGTGACTTGCACAGTGCCCGCCACTTGCAGAGGAGAGGAGGAGGTAGATGCTGAGCAATAGGTGGGAGATCACGGAGTGCAGGTGCTGTAGGGTACATTGAGTAGTGTCTGCCACAGCTCAGGTCATACCGGTGCTGTATGAGTCTCTCTAAGACATGGCCATGCCTAATTCAGCTTCCGTGAGGTCAAGGAATCTGGTTCAGCATTCACCCTTCTACTAGTGCACTCTGAGTGTGGCCTGATCAGGGAATGCAGTCACAGCCATGTGGCTCAGGAGCCCCAGGATCAGGCCCTGGCCTTGCTTCTTGAAGGAGCCCGGAGATGTCTTGGTGCCAGGGCTGACCCTGTCTTCATTTAGGCTGATGGAGGAGTGAGCAGTCCTTGTCCACGGTGAGGAGCTCCTCTGCTGTCTGCTCACGCAGCCTTTGGGGAGAAGTTAATGCTCCACCAGCAGGGCTGAAGCTAATGGACTGGCAATGTTCCAGCTGTTGATTAGTGCAATTAAGAGATAAATGAGCTTCTGGGTGCAGAGGGAATGTCCGCTGTCAAACTCAGTGACAGAAGTTTCTCCTTCCATGACAGCCCTAGAGTCTGCGGCAGGGCTCATCCTTTGTGGGGTTGCTCTGGCAGGACCCTGGATCTTCAGCACAATATGGATCAACACCGGCACTGCGAGCGGGCCTCAACTGTACCGACATTTTCCTCTCTAAACTGAGGCTTTCCTCTGCAAACCAAGACCTTTACTGAAAGTGCACCTGCCTTAGGGAAGAAAATGGGTTTGGTTTAGCAGGTGGTTGCTTAATGTGCGGTGGGAAACTCGGTTAAATCTCTGTAGGGCTAATGTTGAGTGAAGTTTCAACATGTTCAAGGTAAACATCAGGAGGCAGTGCAGAGCTAAGCGTGAGCTGCTGTCCTGACAAACCTTATAGGACAGCACCTGTAAGAAGTGAGTTATCTCATGACTGTGATGGGGTAATGCTGGCACATGAACAAATGGCATTGACAATTTGTCTGGAAATGAGAAGAAAGTCTCTAATCCTCACAGCAGCGAGTCCTGGTAACAGGCTTCCACCAGGAGGAGTAGGGGCAAAAAGCACTTAACCCTAAAACAGAGCCTGATCAGGCTGTGAAAGGGGAGAGGTGACGTGGCCGCTTATGTGGGTAGGGGACTGTTGTTGATGACCCCAGAGATCCTCATCAGCCCCACGGGTAAGTGAAACCAAGCAAGCACAAACAAGCCACGTCAGGCGACTGGCAGATCTTCGCTCCCCAGCCCTCGGCTGACTCACCCGCCGTTGTTTGCACTCGCTGGGGATCGCCACATCTGGATGCAGATAGGAAGGGCAGCCTGGCTCACCCAGTGGCAGGCACCTCCATGGGTGTGTACATCAGAGCTGATCCCTCCACGTCCCCGCTGCAGGCACCAGAGGGATCTGCCACCGTGACTCATAGGTCTGGCCTCCGATGCTTATTTTTCATGGGGATGAACTGCCCTTTGGAGCTGCCTGTTTTTTGCTGCTAATGATAAAGCGGAGACTGAGAGGCTCACTCTCACATACTTGCATTTTGCATGCTGGTAAAGCAGAGGAGCTCTGCCCTATAGGACTTGCAGAAAGATTTATTTTTTTTTTTTTCTCGTTTCAGTCCTTGAACATTGGTGGATTACGTTTCTTTATTGTATAAATATGTATTAAAAAACAACCAACCAACCAAAAAAAAACTAAAGGGTTCTCACGTTTTCAGCAGCCAACAGAGGAGCCCATCTGAACACTTTTAAGTGAAAAATTAATGCCTCAGTGCCATCTTGTGGAGTGACCTGTGTAGGGAGGACAGGCAGTGGCGAAAGGCACATCCAGTGCCATACTCTTCCAGCTGTGATCAGTGATGCCAGTCTAGAAGCATGCTGGAGTTTTTAGGAGATTTGATGGTAATTTCAGTGATCATGCTGCAACCACTGTCACTAAAACAAAGATATCTATTGCAAAGTAACTTTTTTTTTTTCTTTTCTTTTCTTTTTTTTTTTTTTCTGGAAAGAGTGCAAGTCCATGGGTTCCCATAAAATTCCTGTCAATTTTCCAGCCCAGATGAGAATATATAGATGTTTATATTTAATTCTTGAATGCAAGAGACAAACCTTTCAGAGACATAGCAGCTATCTTGTTTGTGAGGGGCAGGAATCCACTTGAAGGGCCCCCTCAGATCCAGGGGTGAGAAGTGAAGCTGTATGTCCAGCTGTGACCAACTCACACCCTCATCCATCTGAGAAATCCCGTGAGATCTCCAGGGCTTACTGCTGTCCATAAAACCTGTCCCTGCTGCAAGACAGACAATCATCTGTGGAGGTGAGAGGAGAAGCAGCTTCCCAAGTTCTGCTATACATCTGTCAGTGTCCTCTGTGTGAGAGAAAAGCTCGTGAACTTTCCCAGTGCAGAGGGAAGCAACACCAAGGACAGCATGAACAGAGCACTGCGTCCCCATCAGGGCAGCTTCTGGTAACTCTGCCGGAGCTATGCACTGTGCTCCTTCCAGAAAATACAGAGAGCTGCAGCAGGCTGAGAGAAAGGGGAAGAAAACTGGTCAAGAGCCAGACATAGCTCATGGAAAAAGGTCTTGAGAGTTTAAAAGGATGTGCTTAAGCACGAGGTTGTTGAAAGGGCACTAAAACCTTTTTGCAGTGGAGAGGTAAGAGCACCTGGTAGGCAGGGAGATGAGCAGAGGGAATCGGGAGGTGGAGGAGGAATCAGGAGCATGAGGACTCTGCTCTGGCACCCAGACAAGGCTGGAGGTGCCCATCTCTTGTTCCTTGAGACTAGTCTCTCCTGGCCCCACAGGAGAGGAGGGGCTGGGGGCTGGGGGGAGGCTCTTAGTAGCAGGGAGCCACAGGCTCAAATACTCAACCTGAAGCAGTTTTCAAGGCTTTGTTTTTCCCAGACACAGACAGGTGCACATCAGCTTCAGGCAGTGTCCTCACCACAGGCTGGGCTTGAACCAAACAGCCCTGCAAAGCACCAACAAACAGTCCTGATCCTACCTGCTACAAAACTACTGGTGCCCAACCACCAGCTAGTGGGTTACAATGCTAGTGGGTTACAAACCAAAATTCCTGTTTGATGCCTGTGAAAAAGGCTATGGAGAAATAGAGGGGCTTTAGGAACACGCCAAGGCTATCTACAGCTCCATGGGTCTGGAAATAGGCTTCTCCTGGGCATAGGCGCAGAGTTTGCAATGCTCTGGTAGCAGAAATGTTGCATCCTCACCCATTAGTTTTAAAAGGATGTTGTCTGTGTGTGGTAACGTCGAAGCTAACAGCTATTTTATTGGCTTGTTCATCTTTAACCAAATGAATGAAGGTGTCTGGGGGTGAAGGAAGGTTGCCAAGTTTCAAAGGGTAACTTAGCTCAGCGCAATGAAGTGTGCTGTCACAACAGGAGCTCCTGTGACCACAGGCTGGAGCCGGAGAGGAGAATGCTGGAGAAGATTCAGAAGATGCTCGTGGTTCGTAGCCCGACCATCAGGGAGCTGCTGGCAGAAGCACTGGGGATGTACATCCTGATGGTAAGGAGGAGATGAGCCCAGGTGTGTGTGTGTGAGAGAGCAGGGTGGGTAAGCACTTGCAGCAGCAATGTGCAAGGTCAGTGGTTTCCTACTGCATCCTCAGGGTTGCTCAGAGCTGCTTGTTACTCTCTCTGGTGGTGCCAAAGGTAGTACTTTTCTCCACATTGTACTGGAGGGGATGGCATGGGCTGGACAGGTGCCCGCAGCCATCAGGGTCCTGCACAGGGTTGGGAGCTTGCTCCTCTACCACTGACAGCCCCTGCAAAATGAGAACAGCGTGCGTCCAGCTTCCTGATGGGGGTGCTGGGGCAATGAGTATCTGTGAAACTCTCTGGAGCCACAATCCATCGTTAGAAAACTTAATTACCAGGTGTAAAGCACGTCGGGGTTTTGGTTATGGTTGTCTCATGCTGGCAAAAGAATAGTGCTCTTCTCAAATCACACAGAAACTCCCATCTTGCCTGAGGGGTCTCTTGCACAAAGAAAAAGTGAAACCGTTTTGAGCTTTTGGGCTGCTTGGAGGTGCTCAGGGGAAGAGGCTGAGAAAGGCAAGAGAGATTGCTTTGCAGTCAGAATTGATCCCTGTAGTGGTGACATGCCCTCTGGGATCAGAGCTTTTGTGTGTCGGACCAACACTGCCAAATGAGATCCTCTTCCTGCTGAGGCTCAGTATTTGCCTATGCCAGTATAGGCATATACCTGGTCTTAGCCTGTAAGCACTTCTGGGCTGAGAGCAGCCTTTTGGGCTGGACAGAGGATGGGGAAGTTATCTGAGTAATCCAAATACCTCATACTTGGAGGTTTTCCTAGGAGGAGGATAAGATTTGTATAAGCATGTGGGCCCCCTGCCACAGCTATCTGCACAGATGAAGGTGTTTTATTTTCAAGGGCAACAACTGCACATGCAGAGGATGCTTGCTTCTTACCACGTCTTACTGCACATCCAGCCCCTCGGTGTTCACTCCTGCTGCACAGGTAGCTTTGGGCACATTGAAAATTGGAGTACAGAATCAAGACTCCTCAGCAGGAGTTGAGCAAACCATGGTTTCTTCTATCCCCGTCGTGTTTTGGTGCTGGAACTCCCCAGGTGATAAAAAACAAGTGTGGGGGGCCCTGCCAGGGATGTCTGTAGGACATAGCATATGGAGGAGACATTTCTCTGCACTCAGGACAGCCCGAGGGAGATTTTGGAGCCTTCAACTCATGTCTGCTCTTGCCTCACTAGACTCTGTGAAGGAACATAGAAGGAGGACAAGTAGCACCGAGCATCCCAGTGCAGCATCCAGCATCCGACCCTTCAGCAGCCCCCTGACCCTTCAGCAGCCCCCTGGCCCTTGCTGCAGCTGGAAGTGTGCTGGGTGCATCTCCAGGACTCCTGGCTGGCTGCTGTTTGGGTGGTAGCACACGGACAGTGCCTCTTGTTTTACTGAACAGGCAATGCTCATAAAAGAGGGAACCAGATAGCAGGAGCAAGTGGCATGAGGAATGGGGAGGTAGGAAAAAAATGCAGTTTTGGGATTGTGAGGATAGAAGAGGTGACCAGAGGTTTGGATCTGTGCTGAAAAATAGATTCTCTGGCGTGGCCAGGTCTCCTGCCCTGCCCTCTCTGCACTGCATGCTGTCCTGCACAACCTGAGCTTTGTGCATTTGGCTTCTTGTGGATGTGGCTTTGAACAAGCTCAGAAATGAGTGGGGAAAGTTTTTGTAAGGGCTTTGCAGATGCTGGAGGACGTCCCAGGTGCTGCTTTTTGGGGCTTTTGCTGAGGCAGGCTGAAAGAAAGCCCCATGCTGTAGCTGTGTGTGGCGCAGAGTGTGGTCTGTGTATATGAGAGATAAGAAGAGTGTCTGTGGGTACCAGGGGATTTGGGTGATGTCTGAAAGGGAAGAGTGAGAGCAGACACATGAGATAAAACCTGGATCCAGGCAGAGCAGCCAGTAAAGATCTGAATCAAAACAGGAGAGGCCAGAGCAGAAGTTAGATGGTGCAGCACATAATGACTCTTTTCTTGGAGGGGCACGATACCCTGAATAAACACTGATGCAGTCCAAGGTACAGGATATGCTCTCCAAGCCCTAAGTGGTTGGAAAGGCAAAGATCTCAAGAGATGCTTTGTCCTTCTCCAGATTTGAGTGTAAGAGCTGTGCAAGAATTGATTTTTCCACCTTCTGACCACAAAGAATGAATGAAATAGAATTTACTTTCAGGCAATTTCTTAAATATGTCTTTTCCTGCTGGAGAGTGTTTACATTTCTTTTAATTTCTTTCCCAGTCCACTTTCAGTCACTAAAAAAAATACTGAAACCTTGGTTGTTTTCGAACTGAAAAGTATATGTGTCAAAAGGAAAAGTCCAACCAGAATTTCCTTTTTTTTTTTTTTGGCTGGAACAAGTTACCAAAATTAGATTTGAGTTTGGCAAACAGCTGTGCATTGCCAAACTACATTTTTAGTCAGTAAATTGTACACCAGGAAAAGAAAGACGTGCATGCAGCTGTGGTGACGCTCCCAAGGCTCACGTCCCAGGTTGCGGACACAACGTGCCACCGTGTATGAGTGTCCCTGGACATCAGAGTCTGGGGTTTGGCTCCTCACACCCAACTCAGAGCAGAGTTTGGTGTGATGGAGTACCCACCAATATGGAATACCAGGCACCTGGTCAATTTGGCAGCAATTTGTCCCTGTGGACACCTTGGAGTCTTCCCATCCATGGAGGTTTGTTAGTATTGCAGAAGAAGTGGCAAGGAAGCTCAGCCCACCATGGCAACAACACTACTTCTAACACTCCTTTCTCTATTTTTCCATGCACTAGGTCTTTGGCTTGTCTTCTGCAGCACAAGTGGTGTTAGGAAAAGGAGAATTTGGGCAGTATGTGAGCATCAATTTGGCATTTGGCATTGGAGTCACCCTGGGGATCCATGCAGCCGGAGGAATCTCTGGTGAGTAGGACACCTGAGCATCATTTTTATGTCCCCTAAAGGCCACAGGCATTGGGGCAGCAGGAGTGGGCTGCAGAGAGGTGGGTGATGGCATGACAATGAGGGGCTTTGTCCTCACCACCAAAAAAATGCAGTCCCACAGTCCCCAGAGAAGAGCAGAGCAGGTCTGGTGAACCATAGCCAGTGTCAGCCTTGTGATCCAGTGGTCACAGCCAAGTCCTCGGTGGGGTGACAGGTCTGAGGTCAAGCCAGGGGGTCGTGGTGGCACAGTGGGGTCAGGAGCAGCAGGGGACAAGGCATACCTACAGTATGCTGACCCCAAACACATGTCCTGAGCCTAGATGGTGTGTGGGTAGGTGCCCCAGGTGAGGCTCTCACAGCTCAGCACTGCACAGGGCTGCCCAGTAACAAAATCAAACTGGGCACAGGCAACCAAGTGCCCAGGGTGGTCTGAGGGAAGAAGCTGCAGAGGAGGACTGCGGAGAAGGGTGGTCCCAGGCTGGCCATGAGAGGAATCAGATCCTGTTGGTGCACTCAGCGCTCTGCCCAAGCGGGGCAGAAGGTACAACAGGTATTCTTGAGACTGCTCACCGGTGGGCATGGGCAGAGGGAAGTGGGAAAGGGAAGAGCACGGATGCAGCCATGCCATCTCCTTGCAGTCAGAGGAGCCACATTTCAGCATTGCCCATGCTAGGCACTTGGGTTATGCCATCAGAACGTGGCCCAAGGAGATCTGAAAACATGCTGCCAATATGACCCATGGGGAAGTAAATCATTTATTGCAAAGGAAAGCTTACTGCTGATGTTGCAACAAGGAATAGTATGGAAATTTTCTCCTTATCACCCACACCCAGGCACATCCCAACCCCCCCCACGCAAACTCAGGAGGTGGTGTTTCAGGAAGTGTTGTTATGGGGCCATAGGGTGATCTCTCTCACATGACAGAGCATTACCTTTGCCTTGTGCAATTTCTGCATTCATTTGCACCAAGTGAAGTGATTAAGGGCTCTAGTGGGCAGAAAATTAAAGCAAGTCCTCGCTCTTGAACTGCTGGGGCACAAAGGTGTCCAAGGCTGGAGCTGGCTTTGAAGGGAAAGTGTTTCCGTGCAGACAGTCAGCTCTGAGTCTCACTGCCCATCTAGAACTGGTGGATATGCCCCAGGGAAAGTGGGCTGAGCAAAGAGGGTCCTGGGTGATATTTGAGATGGAACTGACCTGCTGAAGAGATGGGAGATCTCAGCTCAGCTAGCAACAGGATGGCAGTAGAACCAGTGTCAGGGCTCCTTGACATTGCAGTTTGGATTCACTTGTGTCACAAGATGCTTTTTGTGATCTCTGAAGTGGCTGGTCATGCCCACAAAGGATCAAAGAGTCAGAAAAAAACACAGGTCTATGTGTGTCTCCCCCCAGTTCAGCTGTGATTGTGGTATTGCAGCAGGTGGTACATGTACTTTCACCTCACTGTCCTGCACTTTGATGAGATAACATCTGGATCTTACCCCTTTCTGAGTCTGGACAAGGAGAAGGCCACTAAGATTGGAGCATTTGCTGACCTCTGAAGATGCACAGATGCCAAGCTTTTGATCCCTTCAGTTCAGGACAGGGAAAAAAAAAAAGAGGGTCTGTCTATCAGATCTTTTCAGAAGGTCTTTTCATTGTTTGGGATATGTCTTATCTACCTGTACCCATATAAAAGGTGGGTGATAAGTCTAAGATTTGGGCTCTCTTTACGTTGAACAGTGGCAAGCCTGTGCAGGAGGGGACTTGTGCCATGCCAAGAGAGAGGTCTCTGACAGGTGAGATGACCAGCTTTCTGGAGGCAGCTTGTGGTCTACAGAGAGCTAAGCAGAGGATGTCTAACTCCTAAAGGACTGGAGCTAGGAGCTCTCTCCCCTGCACCATTCAACTGCCCAGGGGAAACGGGTCAGCTTGGCATCTGTGCAGGAGGGAGACCCTGCCCAGGGAGAGCTTTGGTGCTTGCTTCTCTGGGGTCTGAGTCTCTACTCTGGGGTATGGGGCATGCCCCAAATGTGGTGCACCAGGGCCAATGCCACTCTCTTTTGTTGTGATTTTTGCAGGAGCTCATCTGAATGCTGCCATCACCATCATGCACTGCATTTTAGGAAACCTCCCCTGGAGAAAGCTTCCAGCTTATCTGCTTGGCCAGTTCCTGGGCTCCTTTCTGGCAGCAGCCACCGTCTTTGGCACCTACTATGGTATAGCTGTGTCTTTATCACTGGGGTTGCTGTGGGCACCTTTTCAGTCTTAACTTGCAGGTCATCAAAAATCTATCCCTTTGCAGTCCTCAGCGTTATATCTCAGTGACGCTGTTAAGCTCTTGGCTTCTGGGACAGACTTTTATAGTTCAAGGCTAGGCAGGGCACAGATATCCCTGGGAAGGATTTCCTGGCGAACACAGCTCCTTTTGCACAGGGCATTTTGTTTGCCTTTTGTTTCCAAGGGCCTGCAAGGGCTTAAGTTGGATGGACCAACAAGTGTTAGGCACAGCCAGAGCTCTCTGGTCTGTGGCAAATAAGACAACAGCCACTCGTGTTTATGAGTTGTTAGCAGAAGACCCAGCGCCAGCGTGTCTCAGTCCCTGTCAGAAGGACAGAGGCCTCCCAGTGCATCCAGACCAAAGTCTGAGGGTGACAGATATCAGTGAGATCATGCCCTGCAAGGGGTGTGTTGACTCCATCGTATCTGTCACTGCCTCTCTCCCCCTTTGTGTCTCCGCTGGCTGCAGCGGGTGGATTTGGGAACGTGCCAGGTGTGATGAAGTCCGTGCTGCCCACTGTGCTAACTCCCCTGATTCCCATTTCTCCCAGATATTCTGTACGACTACACCAAGGGGAACTTCACGGTGACAGGACCGACTGCCACAGCGTCGATCTTCTCCACTTACCCTCATCCCTGTGTGTCCTTGCTGGGAGGCTTCTTCACAGAGGTGAGTGGGGACAGCTGAGGTGTGCTAGGAGAAGGTGGGTGGCAGCAGGCTCTGTAACGGGGCTGGTACAAAGGACTCGCAGATCTGTGTGTGCTGACACAGTCACAGCCTCTACTCTGAGGAGCCCAATGTCCAGGCAGAAGCTTGTCAGGTGGTGTTCAAGGTTGGTGGAGCAGGGGGACAGAAACCATGAGGTCTGAGGGGGGTAAATTGCTTAGGCCATGGGAGAGGCCTAAGCAATGTAAGCTCTGCTGAAGAGGGCATTAACTGAAGGAAAGATCCCAGTGTCAGCCTTCATCTGCAGTCCCTTGAGGTGGCATGGGAGAGCAAAGAGCTCAGCAATCTTGCAACCACCTGTGCAGATCCTGCTGCTGTGGGGCCAGATCTGCTCGTGCAGGCACCTTTCCTTGCACACTTCCCAAGCAATGGGAAAATCTGAAGCTGAGCAATGGCAGAAACCACCTCCTTTGGGCTCTGCTCAGTTCCCTTAACTCTCCTTAACCTTTCTGACTCCTACGCCTGCTCTACACTCTTAGGTAGCTCTGCTGGCTGCTCTCACCCACAGAGATGGCCTGGGGCTGCTGTCACAGGAATACAGCCTGTCTGGATTGAACCTCTGGGGCTTTGAACAGTCAAGCTTAGACTGCATACAGTTGATTCCCAGCATATAACACAACATCCAGATGCCCAGAAACGAGAGGGGGATGCCTCAGGGAATGTGGAGCATCCCTGAGCGTGTCCCAATGCTACAGGAGAAGGAAGAGTCTCTTTCAGTTCAGATCTGAGGAAGCTTGTGTGTTTGTTTCTGAGCTGGTGAAGCTGTGCCTGGATGCTATGAGGAGGATGGTGAGAGCTGGAGAGCCACCAGACGGGCTCCTGGTTGCTCAGCACCCTGTGGAGTGTGCAGTGTCCTTGCTGCACAGGAAAGCAAAAGACAATGGCAAGGTGTTGCCCAGAGCACAGGGTTTGTGCTCTTGCCAGCATCTCTGCAGTCCAAGGCTCTCCAGGTACATCTTCTGAAGCAGGAAGAGACAGGAGTCATCATGTCTATACAAACAAGAACTATTGATGTCTTGGGCACTGCACATCTATTGTTGTATTGTCACAGATGGGAGACTGTGTTTCCCAGATGAGAATCTGGTCTCCACCTTGACTCCAAAAAGGGCAGATGCAGCAAGCTCTACGATACCTCTCTCCTGCGAGGGAGGATCAGATATGTCCTGTAAGCAGATTGTTATGGCTCTGTCTGTTGGACAAAAGGTGCTTAAAATAACCTTTGCCCTTAAATTGAAAGGTGGAGGGAGATGACAGTTCTGAGAAGCTCGTATCAGTCCTAGAGCATTTTTCTTGATGAAGCGGAGGCATTTTTTTCTGGGAAATGAGTTAGTCTTTTCTTCAGCATCACCTATGCAGCAGGAATAACATAGGGGTCCTCCCTGACTTGATCAGGCCATGAATCCCACCTGCTCTTTCAATCTGGAAAATCTCTGAGTGGGACCCTCCTGCCTTCACTGTTCTCTCTCCTGACCTGTTTCCCCTTTCCTGCTCCTGCAGTTTATGGCGACGGTGATGTTGCTCTTGGGCATTCTGGTCATCCATGATGAGAAAAATAACGCAGCCCTGAAAGGCACGCAGGCCATGCTCACGGGTATCCTGGTCCTGGGCATTGGTCTGGGGATGGGAATGACCACAGGCTATGCCATAAACCCCTCCCGGGACCTGCCCCCAAGGATCTTCACAGCAATTGCTGGCTGGGGAATGGACGTCTTCACGTGAGTGACCTGTTTTGCTTTTACATTGCCCAGCTCACAAGGAGAGTAGCTAAGCCCAAGAGAAAACAGTCATGGACCCTGTGCACAATTGGAGTGCAAGTCTGGTTCTCAATGGGTTTGGGTCTTGCTAAGGAATTTTCTTTAGACCAAGTGACACAATCAAGTGGGTTCTCCTTTTCACAAAAAGGTTGTACATAGAGAAGCCCCATGCACCGGGTACACATAATTTGGGTTACATCAATTCTTCAGTGCTGGATTCAGCTTGACATTTGAGTACCTCGGTTTAGCCACCAGGAACTAAGGAAGTCTAACCTTAGCTAGAGATTGAGCTGGTTATTGCAGTGTCTGGAGAGCCAGAGTGGTCTGGCTCACCAGATGCCTCTCCTGTGTTTTGTTTCAGGGCTGGAAATTACTGGTGGTGGATCCCAGTCGTAGCTCCAACACTGGGAAGCCTTGTTGGTAGTTTAGTCTACAAACTATTCATTGATGTTCACAATCAATCTGTCCCAGAAAGTGGAAATGAGAAAGGACAGCCAGCTATAGAGACTTCTACGCTGTGATGGCCACATGCTCCCAGGAAAGGGTCTGACAGCGAAGTCGAGGTGGACACACGCACTGACAGCCAAAGGGTAACCATGTGGGTAAGGGATGTGCAACAGCACTGCTGGAGCACACACGTTTCTCACCCTGCAGGTGGAGAAATGAGAGAGTAGCTTACAATAAATCTATTCTGCTTAACCAGACAAACAGGGTCTCTAAGACACTGGGCAGACCTGAGTAGGCTAGAACTGTCTATGACCTGAAGAAATTATTCAATCTCCCTGAGCAAAAATCTACCAAAAAAAAGAAAAAAAAATCACATTCTGGAGAAAAAGTACAGCTGCAAGACTTCAGTTACCTGTAAGTTCACAGCAATCAAAATACAAAATCCAACAGGGTTAGAATTAAAAATTAGTCCTACACAGTGGCAGAAACAACTTAATTGAAGAAATTTTGATCTGGACTATTCTTTTTGTAAGAGATAGGAGATATTACATTGATGAATCAGGAGATTAGATTTGTTTCTGTTTGCTAAATCTGCCACCGTATCTATGATCCAGTTTGTTAGAATACAGAGAAGAGCAAAGGTGGTCTGAAAAAGAAACCTGGTGGCTTTTTTTTTTATTTTTTTAATAATTTGTTTTCTTTTTGGTCTAAATACTAAGGAAGCACTAGCAAATTAGTAAATTACAGGGTCTCCTGAATCCTGGTATAACATGCTGGAACAGGCTGCTATGTTTTGTGCTATGCTGATGTGATGGAACCAGGTGTGTTACTGATGAGTGAGACTTCAACTACCAACTTATGAAACGATTCAGACAACTTCTGTGGCAGCATCTCCAAACACTGGGAAAACAAACAAAAAAAATCAGAAAACCAGCAAAACCTTTTGTCTACTCTGAAAGCAAGAATAACATGGGAAGATACTGCTATGCTCCTTGCATGAATTCTGCCACCTCCATCTGACTGAGGAAATAGGCTTGCAAGTTTGAAGCATCGTTGGAGTAAATGTAAAACATTATCAGAAGCTGCCTGTCCCCAGGCTGGGTGATAAGGCTAACTTTTCTGGGGGCTGCTTAAGCAAGTACGTTCCATATATCAAGTGTATGACTGTGGTTCCAGGGCTGGGTACCACAAAGACAACACAGGACTCTACTGTAGGAAATGACAGAATATCACTGTTGCACAGAATTATGAAAACTGGCACTTACTGGCTTTAACAATCATTCACATTACGCTATTAAATGGACTATTACTGTATTACTGTCACATGGGGGTGGATGGTAGGTACTGACATCTCTGTTTCTTCATTAGAGTTGACCTTTATTAGTAGAGCAGCTCCAAAAGATCTTTACTTGGCACAAGGTGCACATCAGCCTAAGAGGGCTGAAGAGCATTAAAGGATTTTTCTCCTGTGCCGGGGGGTGGCAGAGGGCAGCTGCTAGGCAAGCCCTGGAAGGCTCTTTGAGCATTGACAGTGGTCCCTGGGTAAGTGCTGGAAGCCAGCAAAACATGTTAGAGTGAGGCTGGATGGCTGCAGAAATTTTGAACAGTGAACATGATGGAAATAGAACAACCAGTTCACAGAGATGAAGAGACTCATCCATGTGATAAACTGGGAACTCTGTAATAGCTCAAGGTGGGATCAGCTTAAAAGACACTGTAACCTATCTCAGTGTGAGATTCTGCACTGCATTAAAAGAAAACCAATCCAGCCTGCACTCTGTTGTTACTGTGCATCCTTGTGCATGTGCTGCCAAAGGCATCTTCAAATACTTAATCACTCTGGAGGAAAATATTAAAATCTTTATTAAAATACTATTAAGCGCTTACAGGGCGGCTTCATCTTTCTGAAGGCCATACAAACACTTGCAAAAGCCTCACAACATCCCTGTGAGGTAGTTTGGTCGTATGTAATTATATGACTGCTTCACAAATAAAAGATGCTGCTCTTTAAATAATCCAAGCTGAGTTGGAGATGGTGACTTTTATTTCCCTGCTTAGGCACAAAACGGGTTGTTTGCTACCATGCATTTTCAGCATATTTAAGAGGACAGAATGGCATATAAGTGTATTGGAAACAGATGCAACTGAAAATCAGCAGTGAGTGGGTTAAAGTGCAGTTCTACCCTGAAAACTTCCAGTACAGAAAACAGCATCAGGGGCTTGTAGAGCTGCAGGATCTCAGTGGCCCCTGGTCAGATCCTGCCTAATTAACAAGTGACAAAGGCTGAATGCTCAGGTTGCAAACAAATGTGTAACAGACCAGAGGGTCCTCCTGGCTTACAGGACTCTAACACCACAGACCCACCTGCAGCTGCCCTGGCTGAGCAGCTCCCACAACACCAGAAAGCAAAGGCAACAAGGGACCTTGCAGCTTCTGGCTGCTCAAAGGAAAGGACACCACACGGGTGTTGTTACCTGAAAAGCTACGGCACAAAGGCCAAGGAGTGGTCTGGGTTGTAAGAGCAAGTGCCAGGCCAACACAGAGATATGGAAGCCCCAGGTCCCACTGCGCTGTGAATCTCAGAGCAGGAGTTGGAAGCAGAACAGGGAAATGCAGTTTGAGTCTGTCTGAAGTGGAAGATACTTCTTTGTTCCGTGGGTTCCAGCCTGCTCCCATAGCATGCAAGGTCAGGACAGGTTTCTTTCAAAGGAGACAGCAGAAATGTCCTTATGCTGCAATTCAGCATGAGTGGTCCATTAAAGTAACAGTGACTTACATTTACTTTCATTTCACTGCTGTAGTTGCACAGGAATAACAGCTTCCCCACAGAGCACCGACATCAAGGGCTTATTCACGCCCTCTGAAAAGTGCATACTCCAAGTAGCAGAAGGGAATTAAATCAGTGTCTCAAGGTTTTTCTCAGAGTTGCCTGGAACTACATCCCTCCCACGTCAAAGTACATCGTGGTTATATTTCATGCAAACACTGCAGTGCGTTTTCCATGGGCACATCTATTCATGCACAAGGAGCTTGGTCTGAATCGCTGAGACTGCATCAGAGCATATCAAAGCTTATTGCAAATGCTGTTGGGGTCAGATCTGGGGGTCTCGCTTCTTTGAAGAATTCCCAACTAGCGAGGATGTCTTGGAGGAGGTCATGCTAGTGTGGCTCTTTTGGGCCCCTGCTGGCTGGGACGTTGGTTTCTTTTTCATCACTGGAGTTTTGTTCTTGCTTTTAAATACCTTGTTGGGGTCCAGCTTGTTCACAAAGGAATCAGCTTCTTCAGAGAGGAGAGCTGTGTTGATGGTTATAGGTTTATACATGTTAAACCATTGCTGAAAGACAGGATGGTGGGGAAGGAGGAGGTTAAAAATCAAACTGCAATTAGACATTTTCTGCCTGTTCCTCTTCACCCCAGAGCCCTGATTTTAATCATACACCACATAACAGTTAGCAGTTTACAGGACAAGGCAGAGTGCCCTGTGATAAGGATACGCAAGACACAGCTACAGCCTTGGAGCTGTCCCACATTCCAGGCAGGGAAGAGGAGAACCAGACACAAACCTAAAACTACCTTTCCTGCAGTGTAACTCCTATCAGGAGGAACTCCTGACTTAAACCACAGGAGGAAAAGTAAAAGGGAGGGGATGAAACTAAACCACTTTCATTTGGGTTCAGAGAAGCAGAAAAGATTAAAAAGACTGGAATGCAAAAGTGCTTATAAAATGGAAAAAAGTTAGTTACGCTTACCAAAAAATAGCTTCCCACCCTCTCTGCACATACAATGTTGCTGATTTTGTTTTAAACTCTTTACAGAAAGGATTTTGTGTTTGTTTCTTGTCCGCTTGATTTTATGTCTGGAATATTGTTCTTTTTTGTTCCCATATGCCCCCCACACCATTATGCCCTGAAGTTCCCATCTCTCAATGTTTTTCCTATCAATTTGCCATTGACAAAGTCGGGAAATGAAACAGTAGGGGTTATAGTACCACAAGTCCCTCTGACACCATCCTCAGTAAAGTATTTAAAAAGATAAGCAGAAAATCAATACCAAAATGCATACAGCAATCTGTTCATGTATTGCTTAATGGAAAAGGGCTCTAATATACCATCCTTAAAGACCCTCACAAATGATAATGGTTAACATACTAGGAGGATTTGAACTAATAGAGGCTGCAAATGATTAGGGAATATATGAATAATTTCACCAAGATTTGTGAATATAATAAAATGTTCTAGCAAGAAAACTACGAAAAGGCAGAGCACAGACACATGCTAATTTACCACGCACCCAGCCCTGACTAATAAAGTAGAGCACAGTATGACAGGGAAGACACCAGGAACACAGGGCCAAATTCTGCAGCCATTGATAGATAGAAGTCAGCAATGATTTTAGTGAATTGTTTCTATGCACGCACAGGGCTGAGGCAGAGACCATGAGGCAGAGAATGTCAAGCTGGTAATATAGCTGCCTTGTCTGTATTAAGAGGAAGACACTCACCAAGACGTGCCAGGCCTTGCCAGCGTGCACAGACATTGCCCAGGCTTACATGTATGTGCTGTGCTCTGCAGCAGTACCAGCTCTATTCCCTGACCTCACACAACGTGGAAGCTGGGTTAGGGTAAATCCTTACCTTGGCCTGGGGGCTCACCCCATAGCTGGTGAAGGCGTACTGCCACTGTGGGAGACCCAGGTGAGTGATGAGCAGGCGGTAGTAGGCTGTGAAGGTTTTGGTGAGGAAATGCCAATACAGAGCTCTGTCCAGGAACCATATCTCTGTGTCTGGGGAGACAACTAGAACCAACCAAAGAAATTATGTTGTTGCTTTGAGGTGATAGGAGATCAACCCCTGGCCCAACGTCAAGTGGGAGACAAAACACGCTTATGGGAAAGATTGCACCTTCTAAAACACAGCGTCCCTGACTAACATAGGTGATTATCCAGAGGGAATGTGGTTTAATGGTTAAGAGCATGGGGGCTGAAAAGGTCTTGGTTCTGCTCCCAGAATCACGCAACAGCCATTACAGTCACTTTCCCTGCTGTAAAACAGATGCAACTCTGGACCAACACTCTACATTCAACACACCTGGACAACAGCAACTTTGCAGTGTAAGTTACAAGCATTATTACAGCCAACTTTTATCTGCCCCACAAAATAAAAACAAGAACCGAATTGTCAGTCATCTGGATTACTGAGCATAGAGTCCAGAGTCCGGAAGTCATAGGAGAGTACGTACTGCCAACAAAAACACATTTCACAAAATCCTTCCGTGGTGATAAAATCCTGCTCTGGTGGCAACACCTTTTGAAGAAACCACCATCAGATTACTAGCATAAAAAGAAGAGATTTTTCTTGGGAAACTGAGGTGCTGAAAATTGTCAGTTAAACACACCACCTCCCATGCTGACATCAACACTTATAAACAGTGCTGCCTCTCCTTGCTCAGATCATCCAGGTTTTCAGCGTGTTCTGAAATCACTACCTCTGGAAGCAGGATGACAGGTAAGAAGTTTCTGCCCTGGGAGTTCAAGTCACACCCAATTAAAACACAAGATAACAACCGCAGGCCTTTTTCTTAAGAACAAGTATCCCCCAACTGCACACCCCCACACAGTGTACATGCACGTACGTGCACACACCCCTAGTGACCTGTGTACTTTGACAGATGACAGCTACTTGAGAAGTGACCTGTATGTTTCACTGATCCCTGATTGAAAACAACTGTCTGCGTATCTTTCAGAAGGAACAGCTCAAGCTTACGTCTTTCACTCTGCTTTTCAACCTCCTGCCACCAAATGTTGACCTACTTAGCACCTGGAGGCTCTGCATCCACTTACACGGTGGCTGAAGCAGTCTAAGCCTGTCTGAATGAGACGAGGACCTTTTTGTCATTCATCCTTTGCTTCTAAGCAGACACCCTTCTCATCAAAATGTAAACAAATTCTTCTAAGACATGCAAGTAACCATAAATATGTTAGTGGCTGAAGTCTAGCTCTCCACATTATTTCAACATAATTGCTTGCAGGTCATACATGACTGCTTTCCTGGGTCAGTACACAAGCATGCTATGCATACAGAAATTCTAAGTTATAACTCAGACTCAAACATTAAGAGGAGGGAAGATGTAAACTCCAGCTAAGCCACTGTTATGGTGTAGCCACTGAGTTCAGCAGAGACAAAAAGTCTCAGTAAGTGTTCATCTATAAATTGCAAAGATCAGAAATGTAAGATGATTCCACATGAGGCTTCCAGGTACAATCTGTAAAAAGAAATGGCAAACTTTGCTATTTTTAGTCTTACCTGGTTTAGCGTGCTTATAAACAAGGCAAACTTTCCCATTCCCGTTGCATGGGTCTAATTCAAAGATAAGACTACGAGAATCAAAGTGTGGCTTCTCCGGTTTGTCTTCATCACCTGAAAACAGAAAAAAAAACATTTCTTGAAATACGTTTGGAAAACTGACTTTGACTCAGCTGCAAAAAGTCAATCGATTTTGTAGTTATTTATAAATCAGCTGAAGAAGAACTAAAGCAAACCATTATATTTATACTTCTTTGAAAGGATTAAAGTCCAGATACAGGGAAAGAGAGACACATTTTAAGTCTTCAGTAGGAAAACAAATCACAGAATCAAAAACAGATGGCTGAAAAAAACACATCAAGTCCTTCCCTGGCATAAGACAGGATCACAGGATCAGCTTTGTGGATGTCACTCCTGACAGGCACCTTATCTTTTCTTCCAGTGCACAATGTCACAATCTCCAGGCAGTCAACCCAAATGCATTGATATAACTGAGAAGTTTTCCCCATGTGGATCCTGAATCCTCTTTGCTGCTGAAGTCCTCTATTGTGTTCTATCCACTCTCCTTTTTTTGCCCTACATCCTTATTTTCTGGAAAGATCAGAGAGAACCGTTCTTTTTCTGCTGACACAAGACTTTGATGAACTTGGAGATGTATACATTTCTTCATACATTCCAGTGTGACATCTGCCTCCTTCTCAATAGCCACAGATTCTGACTCTCATTAAACTTGTGGCACAAAACCATCACAGAGCCTTTCTACAGGACCATTTTGGGACTGTGGAGCTGTAAATTCTTGAGGAATACGATTTTGAATTTTAATGCTGCTGAAGAAGAAGGGAGACACAAGAGTTGTACCCTTCTGAAGAGTTATCCGTGAAAATCAGGATGAGAAGTCTTACAGGAATTTAAACTTTTCTCAATGCACCTTATAAGGCCATCAGTGGAAGTCCAAGTGGCTAAATGGAAGCAGAATCTGGCCCATTTCTCTACAATGGATAGAAGACCAGGACTGTTGACAAACTGGAATGTACAAAAGAAAATTTCAGATGCATTTAGAGGCTACAAAAGCTACAGAAATTCAGAAACAAGACTGTGAAATCAAATAGCAATTTTTTTAAGGAGTCGGTATGACACCTGGCGTTGTTCTTGTCTTACTTCTTCCAGTCTTGTTAGACTGTAAGAGGTCTGAGCTTTCTTTTCTTTTTTATTTTCTTTCCCCTCTCCAAATCACAGGATGCCCAGCATGTCCAGGCAGTCTGGAACTGCACATTTTCCAGTGTCACCTCACACTTCAATGTACTTACCAGAGTTGCTTTTCCAATTCCAAAGAGCATATCCAGCTGCCTATTCACTACCAAGACCAAACTGTTATCTTTTGTTGATATAACACCATAAGCACACAAAGATTTTACAAGTTGAATCACTGGAGGAGGTTTCAGTTACAAATGTAAAAAAGGGAAAAGACAGAACAGGAGGACAGATGGACTGTTAAAAGAGTACAAAAATAATACTAGCAACTGGCAGAGTTAACAATACCTGTCAGATTTACTGAAAACATGTCCACATCTTAAGGCTGTAGGGGACTAGTAGGATGTATAGCAGCCATGATTCCAAGAGAGATAAAAACCACATCTACATAGAGTGACCTTTTCTGGTGCCACATCCACATGCTATATGGTGAAAGTATCCTAACAGAGCAAAAGGGATGAGGCAGGGCACACATTCCAACCTGTTAACAGGACCTTACCTTCCTCATCTGAATCATCTTCCAGGTCAGCGAGACATGGTGCATTCGGCAGGGCGTACATGGAGGAACCCCCAAGCCGACAAAGCTTTGAGATACTGTTAATCACCATGGAGCCCAGGGGCATCGGGGTATCTGCAATAAGACTGACCATTAATTACATTCAATGTCAGGAAAGTAGAGGAAGTACTGCTTTTTCTCCAAAAATCTACTCAATCTCTTCTAAAACAGGGTGGGTAGAAGAGATGCATATGCCTAAGAGGCCTGTACACTTAACCAAGCCAGGCTCCATAATAGTGAATTTTTATTTATTTTTTTTTTCAGACAACACCAGGTCATCAGCTCTTGCTCTACTGCAGGACCAAGGAAATTTCAACTCAAAGGCTTTTATTTATTTTATCTGCTATAATCTGGGATAGGAGAGGAAGCAGTACTCTTGACACCATCTCAGAGCCGTGCACGTGAGAACTGCACTGCTGACTAGGCCCGTGTTGCAGTGGTTAGCCCAGTCCTCTGAAACTGGCTCTTAAACATCCTGGCTAGCTACAGCCACCCCCACAACACTCTCTTCCCTGCTGCTGTCCTTTCTGCAAGGAACCGCCACACCCATTTACAATGCACTGGGTAGCTTGCCCTCTTATACACCCCATCTGCTGAGGACGTCCTCTCGAATCCTACTCCAACACAGATTTTCAACAGTGTGGCAACATGTTGGTACGCCTGAGCAAATGTTTGAAGACTTCACAGAATCACAGAATTTCTAGGTTGGAAGAGACCTCAAGATCATCGAGTCCAACCTCTGACCTAACGCTAACAGTCCCCACTAAACCATATCCCTAAGCTCTACATCTAAACGTCTTTTAAAGACTTCCAGGGATGGTGACTCCACCACTTCCCTGGGCAGCCTGTTCCAGTGCCTAACAACCCTTTCGGTGAAGAAGTTCTTCCTAACATCTGACTTAAACCTCCCCTCGTGCAACTTAAGCCCATTCCCCCTCGTCCTGTCACCAGGCACGTGGTAGAACAGGCCATCCCCCACCTCACTACAGCCTCCTTTAAGGTACCTGTAGAGAGCAATAAAGTCACCCCTGAGCCTCCTTTTCTCCAGGACTTGGCACATGTCTCCTTCTGAGGACCAATTCTGTCACTGGACATCAGGTCACAAGCACCCATTCAGCCACGTGCCAGCATGAAAGGCCTCAGAAGGCACAGATCTGACTTGCACAAACAAGGCAGTTATGTGAGCTGCTTGGTCTCTGTGCGCTTGCGTGCTTTTTGTGCCACAATATTCAGAGGTCACGACACACTAAATCCCACTTGAAACATGATGGGATTTCAGTACAGGTGCTACAGCCCTGATGTCTGAAATGAAATCCCACTTTGTGAGGAAGATTCCTCTATTTGAGACTCTCTCTTGATGCCAGCAGTGTCTATAGCCCAATCTGACAACGTGGCTTTAAGGTAATGAGAGCCAAGAGAAGACTCGGTGTGCCCAACTCTTGCCAAACAAGGACAGATAATGAAGCTCAGTCCTGCTCTCCCTTCTGCCACTAACTCCAGAGATAATTCCAGTGAATGGACTTTAGCTAGTGGAAAAGTAGAATCAGGCTCAGGCCTTGCAATTCTGGAGGCTGGTGATAAACTTGGTATGTATGGTATAAGGCAATTCCCTGATGCATTATTTCTTGTTATCACCGCAAGGTCTTGTCTTTGTGGCTGACTAATGTAAACGGCGTGACCTCTGCTCAGGTGCCTGACTGGTCTGGCTTCTATTAACTGAGAAATGAGAACTATGTGAGAAGCAGAAAAACAACTTTAAAAAGAAATAAATCATATGTTCCATCTTAGCTGGGTTGGGTAAAGATGTAACTAACTAAGAAGACAGATAGGCTTTCCTAACTGTCATGATCTTTACAGCCTCTCTCTTTCTGGCTCATGATGGGAACAGTCAGATGAATTCAGTAGATTCATTTTTCTCAAATTAAAGCCACCACATGGAGTGGAGAGACACTGAAGATACTAATGATGTGAAGGATTTTCTACAGCACTCCTTATGGTTCATACTCCAATGTGTAATTCACATGTTTATGTGGTAGAGGACAGTCCCTTCCTCATACTGCAGAAATGGAAAAAGAGAGAGGGATTATTTTGTTAACACAAGGTCCCAATTCTGGCCTTTTATTCAGTTTGCCATTTTAAATGGAGTGCGTATCATGTCTCTCTGGATTGCATATATATATATATATGCAAATACACACACTTTTAACGAGAAAGCAGCATTTTCTGATGGTGACTCCTTTTACTGCCTTATGGTGGGATAATGTGCTAGAGCTGCTTCTCTCTCCATGAACCACAGAGGGAATCCAGGTACTAGATTTAAACAACATACCTAAATCTGGGTGTCGACAAATGTCCAGTATATTTATTACGGAATGGTTTTTATGTCATTCAGCCTTGTTTAGTTTCTAGACAGTGTTTGGTGTACATCTCTCCTGTAGAAGTCCAGCATGTGCAAACAACAGCTTTTGCCCTGTTGCAAAGACAGGGACTTCTGATGTGCACTCATACTTTTTTTCACTTCATCAAGACATTTCTAAAATCGCCTACAATACAATGCAGATCTGCACTCACTTATTGAATCAGAGATCAGTTTTCTAGTGACTGATCAAGCTGTCTAATAGACAAAGTACTTCTTTTTTTTTCAAGTTAAGGAATGGTGCTAATTTTTCATTCGAAATGACTTGATGTGTGTGCATGACTCTTGCTCAGACTAACGCACGGTGCTGATGTGTGTTGAATGCAAAAAGAAAGTTTAAAACTGAAGAGATTCTGCACAGACAAGACTGTCTGCAAATAAATGAGGGTATCAGGAGAGAGGAACACATGGACTCACCATCAGTCTTCACACTCCAGGTCATCTGGAAGCCATCGGTCATGAGATAGAAGTTCTTTAAATCCTCTGGCAACACGCAGGAGTTTTTCTGCAAATCACAAGAGGCCCCGAGTGTTATGGGAAAATACAGAACATGCCTCAAACACACAGAGCAACTGAATATTAGTACAGAAGTATTTGCCACAAAATGTTTTGCTCAACTCCAAGATGACTCAAATCAGGTCAACCTTGAAACTTGAGAGAAAACTGTACATTTCTTGAGTCTGTGCTACTGTATTAACAAAGATGATGAGAGCAAATTTCACAAAGAGCAGTCTGTCATCAGAAGATGATTACAGGCTGTTCCCCGAATGAGACAACCCATCATCCTGTGATACTAACCACTTCTTCAGGATCACAGGCATAAGGACAACCAGCTTCTTCATACATCTTTATGGCTTACAAGAACAGCATTTTGTTTTAAGTGAAATCAGACTAAGCCTACCTGCTTCACTAAAGTACGTATAATAGTAGAACAAAGATTCTTTTTTCTTTGAGAGTTTTCAGTTCCAAGTAGGTGAGAGACGCACAGACTCAACAGTTGCCCATACTCAAGCTGGTTTCACATTTCACTTAACAGTATGCGTGTGAAAACACAAAGAGCCAGTCTTACAAATGTGCTGGCCTGGTTTCATCCCACCAAACTTTGGCACTGAGCTGGGACTCCAAAGCGTGCCTCCTTCTGAGCCAACCGTGAAAGAGGCACTTGCATTGAGCTGTTAAGAGTGTTTCTAAGACACAAGATCCTTCTCCTATGCCTACCTTCACTGTGGAAGAAGCCTTTCTTAACTTGGATGCTCAAGCAACAAATATGAAGGAGGGAGGATAAAGGCTTAATCCTCAGAACAACAAGAAGCCTACAGAACTATAGCCAGCTGCAGGTACTGCCCTTCACTCCCACTGATGTGGTGAGAACACAAAATGAAACGGTACAGAAGCATGTCACTTTTAAGAAGACAGGCAACATGTATGGTGCAAGGACTTACTGGTTGCTTCGTCTGCAGTTGTTTTAGTGAAAAAAAGTCTATAGAAGATTGAGGTGAATTCACATTTAAAGCATCAACTCAAGATTCCATGAGAGTAAGTCCCGAAAACTTGAGTTTAATTACTAAGAAGTTTGAAGAGATGAGCTGTGTGTGTCTAGCCAAATCTTTAAAGTCTCCAGTGATGCTAGTTCCAAAATTTGTGATTTGTCCCAGAGCTGCAGCATCCTCCTTAATGAAAAGTTTTCCTAACTGCAGTCTGAATCTCCAAGTTGCAACTTTTGGTCATTCTCCCTTTTCAGTGCTTTTAAACCTTCTCAGAAACAAAGACATAAATTAGCCCCTTGGGGGTCAAACTCCAGCATTAAACCAGAAGGACAGACAGCCTTTTAAAAACATACATCTGAGACGTATATATAATCACAGGACTCAGGCAGCCACCATTTACAGGGAAAACGAACAAATAACGTGAGATTTGCAACATGGCATATCTGACTCGAGTGCTTCTGTGATGGGATTTCCAGCCTTTTTCAAAAAAAAAAAAAAAAGAAAAAAAAAGAGGTCTACTTCTTTCATTAAACCCGTTTAAGAGATACCCTTTTGGATATGGTCTGCTCTTTGTGCAGTGGGTTTGACACTCAGAACAAGAAAATACAAAAATACAAACTTTAAGAGCATTTAAAGCTCAGCAGAGCTGTCCCCCACATGAGCTTATCATGCCATAGATCCAGATGTTATTCGGGTAGGTATTCCTAACTTGGCCTCAGAGGCCTAGATGAATTTCAGAGCAGCTACAGACTTGCTTTGGAGAAAACAGAGGTGTCACACTAATAGCTTTCCATCACCATCCTGCTGCTGGGACTGGATTTGTAACATCCTCAGAACAGTGATCGGATTCTTCCCCATGTCTGCAGCCCATGCATATCCAGTTACCTGCAAATTTTTCCTCAACGCGTCTCTCCAGCAGGAGCCACCTCCTACCTGTGCATTTAGCTGCTGTGCTGGCTTCTGGTCTTCAGTGACTGGTATGAAGAAGGAAAGGTTCTGGCCTCCTCCTGTCCACATCCCTTCCCCACCTAAGGATCTGGGCAGCCTATTCTTTGAGTTGTTACGGTCCCTGTCCCCTAAGCTGTGGCATACAGACAATGCAGGAACCCGTATCTCACCCCCAAGCTTCACTCCTGTGCGCTAAATAATGCACTTTCTGGGCATATCCATTTATGCCTTCAGCTGACAACTGACAAGTCCTAGATACTAATGGCTTTGCAGCTTGCAAGAGGGCACTTTGCTTTACCCAGCACATCAGCAGCCTGTCACTAACACAGTGTTTTCCTAACCCAGCTTGCCAAAATCTCCAGAGGTGACAGCTACTGAAGCAGAGAATCTGATACTACAGAAACTTTGCTTTGATAAGACCTGAAGATCATCTGATAAGAGCCTGCTGATGGCCAAGGGCCTGCTGGTAAGTTTCAGAAGATTACTAAACCACATGAACATATCTGAAGTTCTTCAAATGCCTTTAACAAACACACCTTCTTCTGTGGGTTCTCCTCAGCACTAAATATTTACAGTTTCATGCTGTACTTTCACCACTTCTAATTTCAAGCTGTAGCTACAAGCACAGTGACTAGGTTTAAAGCTATGAAGAAAATACGACGGACCTGCTACAAAGCCTCAGAAGAGCAGAAATGTTTACATAGCACTTTTAAACACACACTCCCCTTTCCCCCCATTTTTACTAATATATCCCAGCAGAAAAAAAAAAAAAAATATATGGGATATATATGGGAATATCTCTCTTGGTTTTGGTGGGTGTCTCTCTGTAAGTGGGAGAACCAGATCCATTGGGATGACAGGTCCCTGCACAAAAATCATGTCTGGAAAGGCCTTGTACTCCGAATCCTCCTTTTTCTGGAAGGAACCAGCTACACGTACATGTTTCTCCAGCTGGCCACCCTCCCCCCTTTGGATTCTCCTAAACATGTCCCCTCATTTGACTTCCCAAATGCTGGTGGGAAATGCTGTACCAGAGCAGATCTGGTAAAACAGATTACAAAGCTTTATTAATACCTTTCTCTCCCATCTGACAGAAAGGACTAATATGTCATGATATGCTTAGCCACATGACTCTATGACTTCAGAACAGTGTTTTTTTGACAGCAGAGACAGAGAACCAAGCCATTACTGTATAACAAAAATGGCTTAATCTCTAGCAGCTATATTCCCCCTGCTCAACTGGTAGTTTCCAGGGTTGTGATCTCCAGCCCCATAAAACACAATATTCCTAAAAACGTGCCAGAATTTGCTTAACCACAGCCCTGGCAAACAGCCGTTTTCATCCCAGTCATCTGGTTACACTCATCAGCTCATAAAACAGAATATCCCAAGTGCCCAATATGGTGTGTGAGGTCTATTCCTTTTGTTTATTGTCCATAATATCCCCAAATAGTCTCCCAAGAAAGCACAGTCCCTTGAGGATAAAGAATATTAGAAACAGGGAGGCTTTGCTGCCAAGAACCGAACACTGGATCCAGAGGTAAATCACTGACGTGCAGCAATTCCCATAAATCAGTATTGAAAGAATGCCTCCCAAGCAAATATCCTAAAGAAATGGATAGCAATCAAAGCATACAGCTGTAGAGAAACTTCTCTGAAAATCCAAACGATTGCTATCCAACTTCTTAGGAGAGGAAGAAGGGATTTATGCCACTTCTCACAGCTTCCAAGTAGAGTACATCAGCAGCCACTTTTCTTTCCCCCTGTCTTCATGACCAGCCTACCCTAGCTGACAGGTTAATTTTCGTAACCTACTGAGACTTCCTTTTTTGTCGTTTACATGTATAACTCTGATCCCGTTGGGGCTCCCAGAATTTCCTGTCCGTTCCTCTTATGGAGAGGCAGAGGGCTGGGGTGGGCCCGATTCCCTGCTGCAGAGAACAGTATGTGGCAGTTCTCAAGGATGATGCTGTGCAGCCAGTATTTTAAATCAGATTATTGTAAGGCTCCACAGGAGGAAAATTCTGTACCAGAAACACTAACTGCCTCCCAGAAGTACTTCAGCCTGCTCCCCATTAAGCAGCCTGAAGAACTGTACCTTTCCTTGTGCACTGGTTCTGCCGGCTCCATGTCTGCAGCTCTCCCTCCTGCTGTGCCACAGGGCAGGTGGAAGGAGGGCAGATCCTGTGCTCCTGGGTGTCAGGCACTGAGGGAGGGCATTGCAAAAGGATGGGAAGAAGGGGCCCTGTGGATCTGTGCACCTGCACGCTGATTTTGGAGGCAAAAGGAGATGTGGTAGAAACGATGAGGACGGCTTCTAGAATAGCCAGGAACAGTTCCCAGTGGGATTCACATGCAGAGAGCTTCTGAGTCGTTTGGCAGCCTAAAAAAGCCCACATCAGGAAAGCCCCATACTGCCTGCAGGCTTTTTCCTATTTTATTACAGAAAGATAAACCTTTGTAGACAAAGGTCGTAAGAAGAAACAAAAGATTACTCATGTGGAGTTGTAGAATATCAGTGCTCCAGAGCCAGCTGAGGACAGCTTGGACACTTAGGAAGCCAATTAGAGGAACTGGCAAAACGACCTCCTTCATTCTGCGTGCCTTGCTGAGGTGCTGAGCCCTGGGACTCCCAGCTCCCCCTACCAGCTGCAATTTTGTATTTTTGTAAAGCAAACCAATGATCTGGGTGACTTATTTCTCCTCCAGTTAAGGCAAAAAGGAAATCTAGATCAGCCACCGTCACTGCAGATACCGGAGTGCCTCCTACCAATATTTTAGTGCCATGGCTGCTCTTACAAACTGCATGTAGAGGGTAGCAGGGCAGTTGCCAACCAAGGTGTAGGAGTGGGAACTGAATCATAGCAGGATATATGGTTATTAGCACTGGCATTCCAGTGACCTGAAAGCTCTGTCTCTACTCTTCCTTCTACTGTTTGTCTCACTTTCTCTGGGAAAAGATAACATCTTCACAGGTCTGAAATACCCAGAATCATGAAAAATTACCTGCTTTCATTCAAATATTTTGAAACGCTTTAAGTTTTTGGGAAGTGATGTTACCCACGTAAGTACCTGACAAACACGTATCTTAAATATTTGTGTGAGTGTGCTGATTTCCAACGCAATATTCAGGATTGATTTCAGGTTAGCAGCTCTTTCTGCTTGCCTGTGTCTAAAAGAAAGGCTTGGAAAAATCTCTTCTGTTCTCTTGCTGCATTACTGCACTGTAACCTGTCAAAATGCTCACCTTCTCTTGTAGAGCTCATTGCAGCTGACTGGCGTTCAATAAGCTGTTCTAAGGTTTTAAAACTTCCACCACAGCATCCAGTTAAATACTTGGAAAAAAACAGGCACAGCCCATTTTAATTAACACAGTGGATTGAGACAAGCAAAGAAAAATAAAAAATACTGCCAACATTATTAAAGTACAAGTTTAATAATTGATAACTAAAAAGGCTGATTTTTCTTACAAAAGTTTCAGAATACCAGGGATTTTCTCTCGGCAGAAATACGTTTTTTTTGCAAAACTGAAATGGGACTGGAAAAAAAAATGCTTCTAGAAGAACTGTTTAAATATATATATATCTTAAGAGTAGAGCTTTTATTTGGTGCGTCTCAATAAAAAGATGGGATTTTTTGGGGAAAAAAAAAAAGAGCATAATTTGGGGTATAGTTTAACCATTTTTTCCCTACATTGCATAAAAAGGCCTGCAAATAGTTTCCAAGCCAAATATGTAGCGGGGAGTTAAAAATACTGTCCATGTCAAGACCGTGTGTTAAAAGCTCAGCCGTGGAGAAAGTGATTACGTGCATTCGTGTTGCCATCTAGTGGCTATGAGAAAACACTGATGAAAGTAACATGAATACGTATACCAAGAGAAGCAAGCAGGGTGAGTTTGTAGAAAAAAGAGGTGCAAGTTCACCCCTGAAGGGCCTTGCTCTTAATCATCGCTCCAGGACACGCTGCAATTGTGTGGACTGTGATAGGTATCAGACTTCATCCCCACAGCTCATGAAATAAAGGAAAAAAAAATTATCTTTTAATTCAAGAAAGAAGATTTCAAATCTATTCAGTACAACTGGAAACAAAAAGGAAACAGCCAAGTGAACTGCTTTACTGTTAGTAGACCAGTCCAACTGTATCTACTTGATTTTCACCCCTCATTTCCGCAATTAACCTATCTCCTTCATGAGGGGAAGAAAAGCTGAAGTTTCAACAACTTCAGAACAAAGTGTGTTGGGTGAAGCATTTCAAAGCTTGGTTTTACAAGAACAGTTAAAATTTAAAACAAACCTGATATAATTTTGAGGATGGGAAACACCTGCAAATGAGAACAACCTGTTCTGGAGGAGCAGTCCTCTTTTCCTTTCCAGAAGAAAGAGAGTGAACCTCACTCTGCTGCTCCCAGACCTGTGATGGCTCACAGCCAGGGTGCCTCACACCTTCCAGCCCTGTAAATCCAACACCCGAACAGCTACAGGAAATCAGGAACCGGTTCACATGAGCCTGAAAAATTGGACATTTCTGCCTGACCACAGTTAGGGGCTACCGTACAAGTTCCAGTAACTAACACAGGTTTCCATCACACATATTCTGACCTGGATTATTCATAAACATCACTAAATAGGATAGAATGCTACCAGAACTAGTGCAAGAATTTTCACTACTACTTTGGAAAACAACTGTAAATAGCTAGGTTGCAAAGGGGATGTTATTTTAGGTAGTGGAAACAAGTGCAGTGTCTGGGATAATGTGCATTCGGGAATAGTCAGGGTTGTAGGGAGGACAATTCACTCAACTCCATTCTCTGCCATGCTCCTTCCCAAAGGCCAGTCAGCTACAATTCCTTCCCAACACGTGAGAAATACCTAAAAAGCAGTTCTTCTCCCATGGTATGGGACTGACAAACGTATGTATGTCCAAAAAGAGGACTAGAAGTGCCATCTCTGTCTGCCAAAGTCACGCGACAGTATTCAGGAGCACACAGCCTGGTGCAGCGAGGTCAGTGAACAGGGAGCTGAGGTTGCTCGTGCTCCTTGTGGTGTTCTAGGATGGACAGTGGGATGTGCTTTGGCAAAAGGATTGGGTCTATTAGTCAGAGGACATGGGGGCTATGACAAATAGTGACTAGCTGAGACTAAAAAGAGAAAGGGATAACTGGAATGAACTCTGTGGCTCATTGGTATTTTCCATCTTGATGCCTTTACCTTTAAAGGCTGTAAGTTAAAAGCTTCATTTTGCCTGCAAGGGTCTTGGGAAATAGTTTCAGACCTGGGTCAGAACATTGTCTGTTCTCCACTGAGTCACCACTGCTCCTTCTTAGAGGTGTCACTCTGAGTGCATACACACTGATGGAATTTCTCTAACAGAACAGGTGCATGAGATAGCCTAAAAACGGAGCAATACCTGATCTACCAAAAGCAAAAAAGGGTTTCACTCTGCATCAGCCTTGGTAATAGGTGGTCTCACAAAGCAGCCGTTGCATATGACACTCTCCACGGGCTGCTGTACTCTCAGACCAACCTCGCTGCAGTATTACCAGGAAAATACTCACTTGTTCCCATGAAATAATTGCGTGGCGCTCCGCTGGCTCCTTCTCCACAAACGTCACTTCAGCAACTCCTGGAGAAGTCTCTAAAAGGAAGAGAGGAGCGTGTTTGCAGCTGGCACGGGTGACAACCAGGCACTGTTAGCCAGACAATTTTGCGAGCTAACTTGACTGACAGCTGGGAAAAAGGCATTAATGACTGCAAACATTGTGCTGGTGACTGAGCAGTCGCTTTCTTTTGTCTGTAATTGTACTCCATGTGTCTTGGCATGAGGATGCCTAGTGCTGCACGAGATGTCATCCTTTGATGGGTTTATAAAAACAAGAGTGCCTCTGTGCGTGCATCTATATATAGACAGATAGATACAGGCGTAAATTTTGTATTCAAGGTCTGATCATTTGCAGAGACTTTGTGGAAAACAAAAAGAAAAAAAATTAGCCATGGCTTCCTGGGCAAACTCAAAAGAGACGAATCCCTCTAAGTGTGCCCTGTGGTTTCACTCAGGCAGGACGTGCTCAGCTTAACACAAGATACTGCGCAGCGCTGCCATGAATTGTTAACAACCATGTTCCTCAAAGACAGGCACATCTCAGCGCTGGGTTTGAACACACGCAGAATCTGAACCTGCATGAGCAAACACTGGTCCTTTGGAAGCCCAGCTGGACACATGCAAATCTGTTACGAGCACTGAGCTCATCATTTATAAAAATCATCTCAATATTTTATGGGAAAGAATGCTACATAAATGCAAGATGCTAATCTACGTGGTGCTATCCTTGCAGATGTGTGACAGTCTCCCTCGCACTTATTATTTTATAATGTTTTACTTCATCTACAGCCAACTGAAATAGTTCCCACTGACTTCATTCACTTTGGATCGGGTCCAGAAAGACTACTTACTTCTTGTTGTGGGAATTGCAAGCCCAGCACACAAGGCGGTAGAGTAGAAGTGATCACTATGCAGGGCTTTCAAGACTGGCTCTGCTGTGAGTGAAAGTATTTGCTCCCGAAGCAGTCACACATATTGTAATTGCTTTCTGATAAAACATACACAGTGCACTAGACAGGAAAGGCAGGCACCAGTGAGCTTTGGTTTGGTTTTTATCTCCAGTTCTGGGCTTTTCATTCCAGCAGTGGTGTTGCCCTTGTCTGTTCTGCTGGTGAAAGAGCAGCACTCAGTTCCCGGAAGTCTGAATGTTGCTTTATTTGCAAGTATTGATTTTTACGTTGTCAGATAATTTAAAAGACAAAGCATAGCACCAGAAAACAAAACTCCAAGTTCAAATAACAATAATAATAATAATAGTAGGTCACCTAGATAATCCTTCAGGCCTGAGCAGGGCCCAGCACACAGAAGACTCTCTGATGCCTTGCCAAGTTTCACATCAAATAGTTGGGTGCAAGGCAGGGGGATCTGTCTCTTGCTCAAAAGCTTTCCATATGTATTCTGCTTCTAAAGAACCGTGTGGAATCAATGATCTAACCAGCCTTTTCCTTCTAAGCTATGCAAGTCTTATAACAAGTTAAGAGATTATAATAACAGAGTAATTGTTATTTCTGTGATCAAAGAAAACAGCAGGGATGTTTAATTCATCATGCACAAAGGCTCGGCTGGGATGATGGAAGATTTAATATCCTATCAGTCATAGGAAGATGTCTAAGAATAAGCGAGCTGCAACTTCTAAAGAGGTCTGAACCAAATCCAAGATCAAAAGAAAGAGAAACTCCATCTTAAAAGCCTGAATGTTATATTAAAAATATCCCGTGGGTGAGCTGAAGACCACATTTAACAGATGTGTATAAGTACGGACAGGAGCTCTATTAAATATTAAGGAGGAAGAGAAGGATAACTCTGCTCTGGGTTGCTTTTTCTTCCAGATGGAAGAAATCGGGAAGCCAACTAAGTTAGAGAAAAGACGCAGGATAAAGCTTGACTAGTTCAGGAGAATGAATTTTCCCAGTTAAAACTATTCTGAATTAAGGTCACAGTAAACTCTGTCCTGCTTTTAGGATATTTCATCCAGAAGCTTCCACAATGCTTACCAGCATGAAAGCCGGAAGACCTGATGTAATGGTCTGAGCACAAAGCTGGAGTAGGAACCAATCCTTATGGTAGCACTAAGACTTCCTGCACTTTGGATAAACTCTCAACATCTTTGTGAAACTGATGGAATAGTTAAATTCTTACCTAATAAAGACTGCAAATAGCAAAGTATACACCTGCTCTGGTCAGGTTTGATTTCATCAAACTGAATCGTACTGGAAATGGAAACGGATGCCCCTCTTTTTCCTCCCTTCTAAATCTTCATAGTGCTTCTGAGAAATCTCCTACTTTGCAGGGACTTCCACATATACTAGAATTTTAACAAGCAAACAAACAAAAACTCCTGTACAGAGTTTGTCTAAAGGAAGATTTGTTTTCAGAAATGGTGCCATGAACATTTGTTCATAAAGGTATTGGAAAACTGGGCCTCAAGCTCCCATTACTGAGTGTGCTAAGTTTTGTTGTTTGAAAGGGCTGAGTTTCATTATGAGATCATTTCTATCCTCTGAAAAAGCGTTTCACAAACTCAGGAGTTAAAAACCTTTTAGCTGTTTTTCTGTTATACTTTGCAGGAAAGCACCCACTGGCTTCATGGGACTTACCAGGACATATTTTGAAGTATGATAGCTCCTAGGGCTGCAAACTACCGAGTAAGGTATAATTTTGATCTAGATACCTTTTGCTAAAGGAAAACTGTAAGAGATTGGTAATGTTCCTCCAAATTTGTAGTTCAGGGACTCGAATTAACATGGTGGAATAGCTTGGATGACTTAACTGGGCAAAGATGTGTGAAACAGCTGGGAGGCGTGGAAAAATGGAGAAAGAACCAGAATGAAAGAACGCAGTGATGGAGTGGGGAGTGTGCGGCTGTCACAGGATTGTGTAGGTTGGAAGAGACCTCAAGATCATCGAGTCCAGCCTCTGACCTAACACTAACAGTCCCCACTAACCCATATCCCTAAGCTCTACATCTAAACGTCTTTTGAAGACTTCCAGGGATGGTGACTCCACCACCTCCCTGGGCAGCCTGTTCCAGTGCCTAACAACCCTTTCAGTAAAGAAATTCTTCCTAACATCTAACCTAAACCTCCCCTGGTGCAACTTTAGCCCATTCCCCCTCGTCCTGTCACCAGGCACGTGGGAGAACAGGCCAACCCCCACCTCACTACAGCCTCCTTTAAGGTATCTGTAGAGAGCGATAAGGTCGCCCCTGAGCCTCCTCTTCTCCAGGCTGAACAAGCCCAGCTCCTTCAGCCGCTCCTTGTAGGACTTGTTCTGCAGGCCCCTCACCAGCTTCGTTGCCCTTCTCTGGACCCGCTCAAGCACCTCCATGTCCTTCTTGTAGTGAGGGGCCCAAAACCGAACACAGTACTCGAGGTGCGGCCTCACCAGAGCCGAGCACAGGGGTCGGTCACTCCCCCACCCCCCCAATGTCCCCCCCTTTCCCCCCGTCCCCCCGCTCACCCAGGATCCGGGTCACGCCCAGCGTGAGCCGCTCCAGGTGCGGGCTGAGCCCGTGCGGCCGCTCCTCCATGCCGGCCCCGCTTTCTGACCCCTCTTGTCCTTCCTCCCCCGCCGTAGCCGCCGCTGCGCCTCATGGGAGCGGTAGTTCGGAGGCAGCACCGCCCCGCTGGCGGCGTGCTCCGCAAGGACTACCCCTCCCAGAATGCCCCTCTCTTCCGCCCGCCGGCCGCGCCAATGGGCGGCGAGCGCCGGGGGGGCGGCGGGGGGCAGGCTGGGAGTGGCGGTTGTTTCAAGATGGCGGAGGTGGCCGCCGGGCCGGGCGGGGACGTGTACTGGAGCCGGGACGGTATCCTTCCGCCGGCAGCGGGATCCCTCCGCGGCGCGGGGGGCGCGGGGCCGGGGGGGGGCCGCGATGAGGGGGAGGTGGGGGGGGGGAGGGCTGGGAGCCGCGTGTGGGGACCCCAAAGCTCGGTGTGAGGGCGCTAAAGGGGGCTGTGGGGAGCTGGGGTCGGTCCCCAGGGGCAGGGCTGCCGAGTTGGTGGCAGGTCGCACACCGACACAGCGCGCAGGCCGGACGGGCTGACCTGACCTGCGCTGCGCAGGGGCACGGTGCCATAAACCCTGGGAGACTTCACACTCACACTTCTTAAACAACAACAACAAAATAAAAACAAACCACAGCAGCTTTCTCTGCCCTGGGACAGGGTGAAGGCTGGCGGCCACGCAGCAGGTTTGTTGCTGCAGCCGCAGTTACTGGCACCCCATGCGTTTACTCCTGTCAGCGAGCCCCCAGCGCTGCCCCCGTCCCCAAATGCGGCCTCTTGGGATCTCAGGAAGAACTTCTCTACCGAAAGGGTTGTGAGGCACTGGAACAGGCTGTCCACGGAGGTGGTGGAGTCACCGTCCCTGGAAGTCTTTAAAAGACGTTTAGATGTAGAGCTTAGGGATATGGTTTAGTGGGGACTGTTAGTGTTAGGTCAGAGGTTGGACTCGATGATCTTGAGGTCTCTTCCAACCTAGAAATTCTGTGATTCTCTTGAGCCCAGCGCTGGAGCAGTGCCCCCACGCACCGAGATGCTGCGAGGGACGAGGATCCTGCTGGCAACCGTCTCTGTTTCGCGTGCTTCTGCGAGGAGGTAGCGCTGCCTCTAATCCTGGCAAAGCTTGAATGCCCTGAAATACATCCCAAGAACAGAAGTTAGTGGCTGCTTTCAAAGGAGAGCAAGGGCTGGGTTTGAGGTGAACTGATGATACTGGTTTAGCAGCGTAGGAAAACTAAATTTCACTCTGTAATTGCCAAATGTTACAGCACAGCAAGGCAGACTGCTGTGCTGTTGTGTGTCTCTGGCTTGCAGTGGGGGGACCATGAGCACCATGAGATGATCAGTTTCTGCAACGTCTGTGGTGACTGCTATCGCCTTGAGCATTAGCAGGGGTGTTAGTAGGTTTATAACGTGTACAGTCAGCCCGTGAGGAGTCTTGAGAGGTGCATGGCAGTGAGTTAATGTTAAATGGCTGGTGCTGGTGCTGTCCCCAGTCTGACTCCGAAACGGGGATGTTGGACCTGTTTGTGAATCAGCTCCTGAGTCACTGCAGCCTTCAGCCCAGATGATTAAGGAGGACTGATCTCACTCTGGTTTGTCCTAATACAGTAGGCAGCAAACCTTCACGGGAGGGTGGTCCTGATAGTATAGGGGAGAAACAGCATCAGCTTTGTGTAATCCCACTACCAGGCAGCTACCCTCAGCAGGGCCAATGAACGAGGCAAGCTTCAAAAGCCAAATGTTGTTTAGGCAAATCTGTTTTATTTCCTACAGCCATGTGTTGACACAGATTAACCATATGCCAGCTGAGAAAGCAATTGCCTGTGCTGAGGTTCGTTGTTTCTGGTAGCAGTACGAGTGGAAGGTCTTTTCGGTATCCCGCAGGCTGCTGTCATAGCTTTGCTGACACAGCTGTTTGGGCTGGGCTGGGCTGTGATCCAGACTGGGGCTTGATCTACCTTGGTGCTTTTTGGGAAGAGGGGGCACGATCCTTTACTTCTAGAATTGATTCAGTTTCTTCACCTGGTTCATGGCATGACCCCAGACTGTGTTGTGACAGCTAGAGACAGCAGGCAGCAGCTTACAGGTGAGGACAAAAGTGCTGTCAGTGTTTGTAGAGAGATGAATGACAGCAGTACCAGGGGAAGCTCTTCTCCAACTGGTCTAAGACTGATGAGTGGTAATTGTTTTTAAGTGTTAATGTGGATCAGAAAGATTACAAGTGATTCTTGCTTGTGATTACAAGCCCTTCCAGTGTGCCAAGTATCACTTGTGTGAGGGATAGTGAGGATTGATGGAAGTGAAGTTGCTGTCCAGAGATAAAAGCTTCTGGACTGTTACTAATTTTTCTCTGCAGTGAGGTAACTTACTAAACTAAGTTTCTGAGATGGTACTACCAAAATCAAATTTTAGTTAAGGCGGGAGTTTTGAGAGAGAGTTGGTACAGGTTAGCTGAAAGATTTTCACGGTTTAACTCTACTGTGTGGAGACAACTGTGCAATGCCTTAAACACATTTATCTGTAAACAGTACAGAACTTAAGTAACTGAGCTAATAGGCCAAATTTTTAAGGCTGAGGAAAGTACTATTAATGAAATGTTAGTGGAGGAGTCTGTGCTTTTGCTTTTCACTTTGTCATAAAGTTGGTAACTTATGTGGGAATAAAAAAAATCCATACTTTCAGCTAACTGAAGGTGTCACTTTAAGGAAGGTGCTGTAGTCTACACCCTTCCCTGAATTGTGTGAATTGTGCTGAGTCCTATTCTTGGGGACTTCTGGGAGGCAAGGTTGGAAGTTCAGGGACTTCTAACATAACAGAAGTAACGTTGTGCCTGGTCCTTTGTCATTTTTTGAGTGTTTTCTGCAGTCACCTAATTCAGTAGTTAAAGTGCTGGTTTGTTTCAAAGTTCTTGAGATAACTTACCAACAAAAACGGTTTCAGACCAACTTTTGATCTTGCTGAAGAGGACAAGTCCTCAGGCTTTCTGCTGGCACTTGTCATGTGATGGTCAGACGGCAATGACCAACTTCCTTTGAAAGCTTCAGTCTTCATCCTCATTTACATTTCCTAGACTGTGCCATACAAAATGTAGTATTTCATCGTAGCGTGATTATGTGCTATTCTGGAAGTTTGTATTCCCTACATATCAGGGGGTTCCTTACATAAAGATAACCCACTCTAGATTTAAATAAATATTATTACTTCATTGTCTTAGTAATTGCCCTTACAACTGGGACTGGTCCCTGGGTTCTTTTGTGAAGGTGACCTGTCACATAATCTTTACTGGCTAAAAGTGGATGCACTTTTTACAAAAAGTAACACTTTTTGTTGTAGCAATGTTTTTTTTTTTCTTTTTTTTTTTTTCTTCCTAGTCAAGTCTTTCCTGCTTCCAGTTCTCCCAAAGTGTTGCCAATCTGTTTTCTTATCAACAGCCTGTTAAGATTAAGGGCAAAATACTTACTCTTATAGTTGTGTTTAAAGGGCCAAGCTCTTTGTTTTGTGTTTGTTCCCTTTATCTTTTGTGTTTATTTCCTTTAACAAAGCTACGTGCAGTTTCTGATGAAGAACAGCCAATGGTGTATGTTTCAGGTATGAACTTCTAATAGCCATAAACAAAGCTGTTTTTTCATGTGATTGCTAAACTGTGCAGTGTTTTTTCAGCTATGTGATTTGTGTACAGAAGTGTTTAAGATACAGAGTCATCACAAGTACTTTAACTTGTAATGGGACATACAGGATTATAGCATGGGATTTATGCCCTGCTGCTAAGATAAGCATGTGGTATCATATGAACAGTTTCAGGGGAGTTGTTTCTATTGCAGGCACAGCATAGTTTTATTCAGCCTGTAAGGTAAGCTGAATTTTTAGTGTGGTTTCCAGGGAATGTTGAAGCGTTTGAGATTCTGAGGTCGTTTGTAAGTTCTGAAGAGAACGGTTAAAATGAAGCTTTACTGTGTACAGAAAAAATGAAATTGTTTTGTAATCAGTTCTCTTAATCTTGATTTACTGAGCGCATACTTGTGTACATCCCTGGGGACATAATGAGTGTTAGCCTCCCTTCTTCAGAATTTTCTAATTGTTGTCAAACATAAGGACAACTTTTACAGTGACACCATGTCCTGAAAATATGGCTGCAGATGATTAACTCAAGTAAAATTGTGTATATGTACAGCATGCGTTCAGCAGTTAAGCAGTTATAAACTTTTAGGAGCCCTTATTCTCCACCTTTGGAGTAGCATGGTTACCCTTACAAAACAAAACAAAACAAAAACACCCTACAGGGCAAGCAGCTCTATTAAAAAATCTTTGAGTGTGTTTAGTTGCTGGCATAATTCAAGCCAAGCGATATTAGGTTGTTAATCATTGAGTCCTAGAAAAAAAGCAGGGATCCAAAATGCTGGAAATGATTCACGCTGTGTAACATTTTTCCACTTCTCTTCCACTCCTGTGTTTATGAGGAGAATGTCAGGAACATTTTCCCTTGTGTCCGAGCACAGAGATTTTAAAGTCTGTAATTTAGTTCTTTCACTTGAATTGCTGACACACTTCTAAAGTTCATTCCCCAGAAGAGTATAGTCTGTGGTATAAATACAGTGTTTGATTTTTTTTGGTCAAAATTTCTGCACCTCTGAACAGTCAAGACTTGATCTTTCATGCAGTACCAAGAAGCTGCTGGTTTTCATCAGGCCTTGGGAGGTTTTAGTGTCAGTGTTAGTGTTGACACTTTATAATTGCACCGCGAGGATTTGCACTGCTCTCATGTTTTTACCTGTGGTAGGGGTGAACTAATTCCAATTACTGCAGGAAGCTTTTTACAGGAGGTCTGTGGAGCGTGCACTGCGGTGTAACCTTACTCATATGTGTGGTCCTGACAGGAATGGTTAGTCTGAGCAATCAGCAGCTTGGCGTTATAACAGAAAAAAAATGGTTTATTGTGTGAGTTGTACTTCTAACAATGTTACTTCTGTTTGGTTCCTATTTGTATTTGAGTGTCAAAACAGCAGCTCAGTTTTATGCTTTTCACCTTAAACGCTGCTTTTTGCATTGAATCTCAGTCAGAAGACAACATGCAGGTTTTAGAGTTTACTTCCATATTCATGTGTCTGGATG